AACCACAGGGACTTGTTCCAGAGCAGATCCAAGCATTTCATGAACTAGGTAAGAATAGTATATACTTCCAGTGAGTTTAGTAGTTTGTTTGCTACCTCCTTTAAGGGCTCTGTGAAAAGTAATGCTCGTTTAGTGCTGTAAAGAAAAAAAGTCAAAAAGCATTTTCATCTTCCCTTCCTTATCCTTTGGAGAAATCAAAGTATTTTAATATTTTAAAGTGCTCTGTCTATATCCATTAAAAAATATACTGAGGTTCCCTGTCTAGTGTGCATAATATCTATGGCCACTTAATCATTTTTAACTATTTCAAGTTGTTACTAACAGTTATTGTAGCTTTGCTCTTAAGACTTGGTTTTTAAAATGATAACCAAGAATGCAGTCCAGAGTTATAATACTGTCCCTGTGAAGAAAGTGAAGCTTCCTTTAGAAATCAGTAGGCCAGGAAAGAAAACAGAATTAAAGCTTCCATCTTTGCCAGTTACGGGAAAGAGGCACAACACAGAAAAGCCTCCCATGGGGCTTTTAAAAAAATTAGAACTTGGGAGGTGAACGAGAAAATAAAGTGGGAAAAAAATTAAAGCATGGTGCAAAGGCAGGAGGGAGATGAATTCAGGAATGCTTACTATGAAAGCCAGTGGGAGGCAGTGTTAGCCAGAGGGATCAGCAGATGTGGTTTTGACTGTGACCAGGGTCAGCTTCCTGTGCAGTTGTACAGGGCCCCGTGCCTCGGTGAACCTGCTCTCTCAGAAGGGTTCTTTAGCTAGTTTAATGCTCTTGACTTGCCATCTGGATATTCTTTACATTTTTTAGCAAGGGGTCCAGCGTGTCCATTTTACACTAGACCCTCTAAATTATGTGGCTGAACCTGGCTCTGGTATGAAATCTGCACAGGTCCTGCACAAGCTTCTTTACTGTGCTTGTGTTCTCATATCTGAAGTGAGGATCACAAAATTACCTTTGTAGTGGGATGACATTGAGAATTAAAGGGAAAAAACTGAATTAGTTATGATTTGTGGCTGTCTTTGTAGCAGTTTTCATTTCTTATAGAGTATCCCAGTAGTCTTCAGACTCTTTGATCTCACAAGAGATTAATGATTAAGCTTTTATTTACTTGGGCTAAATACATCAATATTTACTGTATTAGAAATTAAAACCATGAAAATGTCAAAGTACAAGGACCCACAAGCACACTTTCTCCCTTTTCTGAGAAAGGCAAGAGGCCATTTTATCGCATGTCCAGTAGCTCTGGAACACTCTCCAGTTAGGCCAGAATGAAAGTGAACTTGGCAGAGGACATCTTTCTACTATTACAGAAACAATTTTGACTTCCCAGATGTCTTGGAAAGGCCTTGAGGATACTACCTTTTCTTTCCTAAAGGTCCTCAGATCACACTTTGAGAGCTCTTAAATGGAAATAATCTACTATGATGTTCAATTGGGTGACAGATGTATCTCCAGAGTGAGTAACTATTTACACTTGAGCCCATTCTTCATTCTGCTGGTCAAGCGGATGATTTAGATGAAGCTCTGCTCAACAGATGTTTTATATGACTGTTAGTAAGAACCAGGCCTATGTTCCAGACTTCTTCTACAGTAGCATAGGCTATTTTTATAATTTAATAATATTGACTAAGCTCAGCCTCTGAACAGTGTGAATGTGTGACTGTAGAATGCTGAGAATGTAGCAGTCTGCTCTTAACTTGTGTTTGTCCCCAGATAGAATCTGCTACTTTTGTGAGGAATTTTATCCCTGGATTATTGATCTGGAAATATCATTTACCTGGCATACAGGTGAGAACCTGAAAGTAGGTGTTAGGTCTGTGAAGACCAAATACATATCATTAAGTTTGCCCCCTCCAGGGTCAATTCTTTGCTTTACATTCGAGGCAGGCTAGTAGTCTCCCTAAGCCTGGTCACTCTTATTTTTGATACAGCTTAAAAACACATTGTGAATTGTTTTTATAGTTCACAGAGGAATTTGTGCAGGAAAAATAAGTGAACAGTAAATGAGACCAGAAGTAAGGCTCTGGGGACAGTTCACATAGAGGTAGATACCCTGCACAGTTCCTAAGTCATCATTGAAAGCACAGCACCGCCTGTTCATGCAAATACTTATCCAGGACCCAGTATCTCCTAGGCATTGGAGACTGGGAAGAATAAGTTACCATTGTTGGCCTCAGGAATACAGGAGAGTCATATATATGGCAAACAGTTCTGTTGTGACATTCATTATGGATGACATTTAGCTGGTGTAGACTGGTAAGTTTGTTAATGATTTTAATTAGCATCTGTGGGATGAGTCAGAGATGGTCTCAAAGAGAGACTTTTGAACTGGGTGTTTAACGAAACTGAGTGTTAGAGAAAATGGCATTTGCAGGAGCCAGGTGGTCTGTAGGTAGTACTTTATTGGAGGACCAGGATGATAGCTGAAAAAATAAACCTAAACCAGACTGTCAAAGAATTTGAAACGTATACTGAAAGAATGGACAGCAGCAATGAGAAGTGATGCCAGTTAAATGTGGAGGTGAGGAAGACTTAAAAAGGACTCTGATGTGTTTCTGGGTAGTACAACAAAGTGGATGGAAGCAGGCAGGGTAGATCATAGGTTTGGTGATGCAGAATTTGCGGTACATGTAGGTTACCAGAAAGAGATGAACAGAGGTACCAAAAGTAGGTAAGATGGAAACTGCAAAGTTAACTGGTGTCAAAGGATCGTTTTAGAGCCCGTAGCTGCTAAATATGCCCTTGAGCAATGTGGAAAAAATAATTTCTAGGAAATCAACTTATTCCCCATAGGTGGTAAGTGAATTAATGTATTTGACTGGATTTTAACTGAACTTACCTATATATTTGCAGATGCACTGGTTTGGGCTTAATACCATTTACCCTTCGGGAAGGGAAGTTAGGAGTTGGGGAGGGAGGGCTAGATAGGTATGATAGGGAAAGGTTAGAAGTGAGGCCAGAGGGCCGAGGAAGATCACACTATCTCTAGGAAGCTGTTGAAGAGGAGACAAGACAGAATGAAAGAACAAAAACAGAACAACCTAACAGCAATAGGGAGGCTAGAAACTGTACTCACTTTCCTTTAAAACTAATGACAATAGAGAGAAGGAAAAAGAAAAGAAAAAGTAAGGAAAAAAGAAATTTGAATTAGGACAGGAACAGCAATAAAAAGGGAGAGAAATGAACAATGTTGGAGAGAGCAAGAAAAGAAAAGAGAAGATAAGGGAAAATTTGAAAAGTATAAGTTGATAAAAATTAGAAAAAATATGAAAAAGAAAAAAATTACTTTGAAGACAAAAAAAATAAAGGGCCTTCTTCAGGGTATGTCTGTGCTGTCAGTATAGCTAGATCTGCAAACTCCTGCTCACGCTAAGTCAATTAGTCTTAGCAAGCCAGCAGCTATCTCCTGAGATTCAGGCTGATTTCTGCCTGCAAGGGCCAAGTTTAGACCTGTGACCCCCTGCTGCGTTGAAATCTGCAAGGTTGTACTAGATTCTACTGCAGGTTCCAGCTGCCCTTCCTCTGAAGATAGTCCAGGTTCTGATGGGAGGTGGTGTTCTTTGCAGTTTACCAACTGGGGTGGTCTGGTGTGCCTTTATTGCAGAGATTTTCTTCACTTTTCCAGTGGGCTTCAATTTTCATCAAGGAGCCTGAGAGAGGCTTTTTTAAAATTCACTTCTGCTCTATCTTCTGGAGCTCAGATCAATGTCTTTTCTGACCCACTGGCCCTCTGTGGTGAGGATCCAAGTGCTGGCTTGGCCCAGTGGCCAGAGGAGGGTGCGGAGGGCGGGGGCTGTTGGCACTGAAGGGTCGGGGGCACCAGACATCCCACTTGCTGCTAGGGACCTGTGTTCCTCTGCGCCGAAGGAGAAGGGCCCTATAGAGCCATAGTTCTATTTCTTTGAACCAAATATATTAAAACCCACAAGAGTTACAGACTTCTTTTGTATAGAGTAAACCCAATTGCTAATCTGTTTCCCCTTATGGTGAGCTTTAAAAATAAAAATGTTCTTGGCAATAAGCTATATTGAAACTTGAAAGGATGATAAGTCTTATTGGACTGTTGGCTCATTTCTAATGCAACAATGTAAGATTAAACAAAGCCTTCTTTGTTGTGAACATTATTCCAAATTATTTCTAACTTCAATGATAGTAGATAGGCATTTTCAGGAGAATGCCTATAAAAATCTACATCCTACAGGCAAAGTAGAGTTTGTCATCTGCATTAATCAGAAAAATGGTGAGGGATGTACAGCATCGTATTTCTCACAGTCTCCAACCTATGCGATAAATAACTTTCTGTTATACATCCACAGTTTTCAGAGATAGTACCAATCCCAAGTATCAATTTCTATCTTAAAATGGATGAACATGTAAAGCTTGCCTCATTCAATGCTGAAATACTTTTTGTTATTGTCTCTTAAAATCCTCTTAAAATCATCTCTTAACACCTGGTACTTACAGCCAACATGCATATTTATGACAGTCTCTTTCCTAAAAGGCTGTACTTTGTCATTTTTTTAGCAGTGTGACTTTTACAATTTTTGGTTATCCCCAAGCATGTCCTTATCTATAAAAGCAGATGATAAAAATCCCTTCTCTGGGGACTAATATTCAAAATGTATAAAGAAAGCATGCAACTCAACAGTAGAAAATGAATAACCCAAATAAGAACTGAACAAGAGACCCAAACAGATATGTCTCTAAAAATGACCAGTAGATAGATGTATGAAAAGACCCTCAATGATATTAATTATCTGGAAAATACAAATCAAAGTTACTATGATTTACCACTTCATAGTAGGATGGGAATTATTGGAAAATCAAATTATAAAATTGGCAAAATTATGGAGAAAAGCAAATTCACACTGTCAATGAGACTGTAGATTGGGTGCAGTCATTATAGAAAAGACAGAGGCTTCTAATGAAATTAAAAGATTATAATATATTTTTAAAACATCCTTACCTTACTAATGTATTATAAAAATTCAGGAAGATAATGTTTATGAAGGTACTCTGCAAAATGATATTAAACTACAAAATTGTTACTAAGAAAATCTATAGGAAATTACATACAGCATGTCTTGGATACTTAAGCAACTGTGAAATAATAAAATTAACTGACCTAGATCTAATCTCCATTTTTACTATGCTACTTATTGTGCAGAACATTTATTAACTGGAAGTAGTACATCCCTACAGAGCTAGTGCTGGGGTTCTTACAGTGACCAGTGCTAGGAAATGCGTATTATCAAAATATATATTTACAGTAGGATACAAAAACCACAGCTCATCATTACTAGATGGGGATATAATCCTATAAACTCTATTTAAAAGATGACTTGAGCAGTATGGAAAATGGCAGAATAAGGAATCGTTTCAAGAAAATTCAAAAAATTATTTTTGGTTCTCAAAGGCAGAAGATGAGTTTGTCTATTGGCCAAGTCGAGGAGAATCCATGAACTGTGAGGCTTTTACTGTCACCCTTATCAGCAAAGACAGACTGTGCCTCTCTAGTGAAAAACAAATTATCATCCATGACTTTATCCTTGAAGCAACACAGGTAACCTGAGTCTCACTTTCTCTCTAATAGCCATACCGGGGCCCTGAATCATCCTTTTAAGTAATAATGAAGTAGTTTACTACCCTCAAGGGGCCCAGGTATTTGAGTAAGACTTCATTTTAAATGTTTCCCCTTCTTCTTTCTTCAAATATTTGCTTTCTCCAGCTGGCAAGATGAAAGGTAACTGTTCCTCTGATTCAGCATGCATATAAATAGGTCTATTGACCTAATTATAAAAACAGTACACTACACCTGAATATTGTCTTTGCCATCAGAAATGTAAACCTTGCAATATGTTGCAGAGATGATTAACACTAAGGTTTTTTTTAATGAACAATATTTTAATGTGTAATAACTGCCTTCTTATGTGAATAAGGAGAAAATATCTCATAGTAATAGTTTAAATGACAAAATAATATACTGTGTCACTAGTGTGACCTATGCATTTTTCTGATAACAGGCAGACTTTCCTTATGTTTTTCTTCTCACCAGTGCTTTGCTTAACCTCGAATTCTTCAGAGTTGTCTATGATATACACTACATTGAAAGTTCCATTCATCTAACTGTAGACATATGACAAACTAGATTAGCTATCCAAATGCCATCTGGGTTTTGCCAGCTTAATGCAGGACAAATCCTAAATTGCCACCTATTCTGTGACTGATTTCACTGTCATGATTGTGTTGCACAGAATTTCATCCTAAAGTCAGAAATGAGCTGGGGCACATTCTTATAGTCCCAGTGCTCTGCAGCATTAAGGCAGGAAGATCATGAGTTCAAGCACAGCCTGAGCAATTTGGAGTGTCTTCGGAAGACCTTGTCTCAAAATACTAAAAAAGGGCAGGGGCTTTAGCTCAGTGTGAAGGTCCTGGCTTAAATCTCTAGTTACACGTGCATGCACACACACCAAATCTAAAGTCAAATATGTAGTTAATCTTGTATTTCATGATAAGAGGAAAACAATAACAACCAGTGAAACACTAGACAAAACTGTTTGATTCCTTATCTATATTCAGCTTTTTTATATTTTATGTCTTATGATGAATGTCACCTCTGGAATTAATGAAATCTAGCTCATTTTGTAGCCTAAATATGCAAAGTTGCTATATTGAAGAGTTTATTCACTATAGACATATTTTGGGCTGGTCCTCGATTTTGATTTAATTAACATGTTTAAAAGTAATAGATTAATAACTACCACAAATTGACATTTTCTAAACTGTGCTTGATGCTATTGTTGCTGATTGTATCACTTGAGCTACGGTGTTGTGATTGATCAAATCAGTTGTCCTTCCTGGTATACTGAAAAGGTGATGCCCTAAGAGTCATTAGACTCAAAAGCTAAAGGCCAGATATATCTGGAAGACACTTCTGAGAAACAGTCATTCCATAAAAGTTCTAAATACAAGCAACAAAGATACTTACAATAAGCACTACTGAAGTATCAGCCCAGGAATTAATGAAAAACAGTATAACAACAAAGATAAAAATGAGAAGCCACCTAAGGAAGACACAAAAGCAGGCTGTCAACTCACCAAAGGCAAATTCTGGGGGAAATGAGGTGGAAAAGTCTGATAATCACCTGGACACCCTACACTGATGGCACAGGAAGTAACAAAACAGACGAATGAAGCACTAGAAAAACTCAAAACAGAAATAATTTCTCAGATAACCACAGAGCTGGTGAGCAGAATAAAAGACATGATTAGAGACCCCAGAACAGAAGCAGATAAAAAAAAATAGATGCACTCAAGACCATGATGGAAATGATGAATGCCCAGCATAGGAAAGAAATGGAATCCATGAAACAGATTCAAACAGATATCCAGGAGATTAAAAACTGTTGAAAGCATTCACAGCAGAATGAGCAAATGTGAAGACAGAATATCAGATACAGAAGACAGGATTGTGGTCAGTGATCGTGAAAAGAGACATCTCTTAAAAGTAGTAAGGGACCTGTTCTACCGCTCCCAGCCCAGAGGAAGGGGCATCTGGGCCATGGTTCCACTGCTCACCAGAGGAGGTGAGCTGGGCAGGCGCCGACAGCACCTCCCTCCCTATCGAAATGAGAAAACATGTAAACAAGTCTCAAAATCAGACTTCCAAATCACCTACAGCAACCCCAAAGGGAAATGAGATGGAACACTCTGATACTCAACCCATGGACTCTCTGAACTAGCAACAAAAGAAGAACTGGAAAAAATGAAATCAGAAGTAATTTCTCACATAACAGCAGAGATTGTGCCTCTAGTGCAAGACATGATTAATAAATCTAGAGAGGACACAGATTAAAAAAAAATAGAGGAGCTGAGGAACATGATGAAGTCCCAACATAGGAAACAAATGGAATCCATAAGACACATGCAAACAGATTTCCAGGAGATTAAAAACTCCATTGAAAGTTTACATAGCAGAATGAGCCAATGTGAGGACAGAATTTCAGATATAGAAGATAAGATTGCAA